CAGACATGTGGGGTCCTGGTAAGGAATGTGGGATGGGAGGTCCCTGTCATGGGTACAGCCCATGGAGCCCCTCATTGTCATGGGTAGGGCCCACGGGGTGTCCTGTATCACAGGTATGGTCCTCATCAGAGGGCCCCCACCAGTGTGGGCAGGGCCCCATGGAGCATTCTGCAATGGTAAGCAGCACCCCAAACCTGCCATATGCCCACCGACAGTTCCTTCTGCGGGAGAGCGACATAGGGCAGAACCGAGCCGAGGCATCCCGGCAGGCCCTGGCCGAGCTGAACCCCCGCGTAGCAGTGGTGGCTTACACCGGGGAGCTGTCGGAGGCCTTCCTCACCTCCTTCCAGCAGAGCCCATGCACAGCGCATGCACACGTGGTGGTGCTGACCGAGTCCTCGCTGGAAGAGCAGATCCGCATTGGGGACTTCTGCCATGCCCAGGGCATCTGCTTCATCGTGGCTGATGCTAAGGGGCTGGCAGGGTAAGGGTCTCTGCTACAGGGTCCTGCCACTGGCTCTGGGTCATCTTGTCTCCAGAGCCCCCAGCCCTGCTCTGCAGCCCATCTCCCCATCCCACTGGCGCATGACTGCTCAGCCCAGGCAGGACCTGGCAGTGCTCAGGCAGCTTGGTGAGGTGGCTCCTCCAGCAAAGCCTCATTGGTCCTCCCCAGGCAGCTGTTCTGCGACTTCGGGGAGCGCTTCATCGTTGATGACCCAGCAGAAGGGGATCCGGTATGTGCTGCCGTGAAGCACATCTCCAAGGTAGGAGGACAGCTCTCACAGGCTCCCCCGAAACACTGCCGCGTCCTCCAGGACCCCCACCTCACATCCCTTCCCCTCCTCAGGGCAACCCGGGCATAGTGACATGCACGGGGATGGAGGGCAGCCGTGGCCACCTCTTCAGCGACGGTGACCTGGTGACGTTTTCTGGTGTGGAGGGGATGACGGAGCTGAATGGCCAGGAGCCTGCTCCCGTGCGTGTGATGGGTGAGCCACCAGGGAATCCTGGCTCCTCTGGCCCAGGTTTGGTGAACTCGCTGGGTCCTTGGTGGTGACTGTGATACTCATCCTCCTCTCGTCCCCAGATGCTTTCAGGCTGAAGATCGGCGACACCAGCTCCTTCTCACACTACCGCTGCAGGGGCCTGGTTTCGCAGGTGCGGCTGCCCCAAGTGCACTTTCACGTAAGTCCCGCCTTGGTCCCACGGTGCTGCCACATCCTGCCATGCCCTGGCCTGGCTGACGTGCTCACCCCAGCCCTGGTGCTGTGCTGGCAGAAGCCCCTGTCCCAGGCACTGGCAGAGCCCAAGATCCAAGTGGCAAATCCTGAGGAGCTGCCGCGCAGCCGCAGCCTGCATGCTGCCTTCCAGGCACTGCACACTTTCCGTGAGGAGAAGGGTTGCCTGCCCCAGCCAAGGGCACTGGTGAGTCCCTGTCCTGTCCCTGCCCGCTCCCCTGGCTCCCACCACCCTGCCTGGGCTGCCCTCGCCCCTCCATCTGCAGGCAGATGCTGAGCGGGTGCTGGAGCTGGCGCAGAGCCTGGCAGTGCAGCCAGGTTCCCTGGACGAGGACATCGTGCGAGCCTTTGCCAGCGTCAGTGCAGGGGATCTGTGCCCTGTGGCTGCTGTCATTGGGGCCATGGCAGCCCAGGAGGCCCTGAAGGTGAGCAGGATGGGGTTCCCGGGCCCTGGGGTCCTACTGGTTGTGCTCTGCAGCATCTGCTGACCACGAGAGGGCACTTGCTGCCTGCCTGAGGACACCGGGCTGAGCAGCAAGGCTGGTCTGGGTTATGGGGAACCTGGT